AACGTAACACTGGAATGGGATTATTTTCAAATTCTATTCTTTTATGAAAAGCATTGAAATATATTTGAAGACAAAACACTTTAAAGACACATTTAAAATGTATTTAATGTTAATATGTGTCAGCAATGTTACAAAACATACAAGCAAAAACACTAACTCTGATAAATGGAGATAATTGCAATCATAATCTAAACAATATTCATCTCACCTCTTACATTATTAGGGCCTGCAGTAGTTGCTGCATAACCTGCAATCTGAACTGCATCACCTCTGAAACACAGTAAAATGGAACATTTTTCAGCAGTGTTCTTTTTAAAAATGTATAAAAAAAATCGACAGGAATTTTACATTTCCAGGTCATCAACAGCTGAGCTTTCAGACTTATTAAAAGGGGAAAGATCACAACTCACACTCTGGGACGATCGTTACACCTAGGAAGTGGTACAGGTTGAACCTGAGTAGGGTTAGGTAGCTTCAGCAGCATGATGTCATGACTGACGCCGTTGTCAGTATAGATCGTGGGTGGTGCTGTGATTTGCACTACTTCATATCCTTGCCCAGGATGCACACTTAAATTTGCATATATAGTCCTAGAAGTAAGTAAAGGTAAAAGAGGATCATCATTGAATTACTGTCAATGCACCCCATTTGTATATTATAGGTCAATAATTAATCATCACGAACATAAGCATTGATGTCTTTATTTTGGGAATTTACATCAAATCATTGTTGATTGCTGCTTCAGGACTTTCACACTGAATATGTGAGTGAGAAATATATTATTACTGGTTCAAGTAAAACTGTCACTTTCTCACCATCCTGGCTCCTGGCAGTGTGCTGCAGTCAGAATCCACTGGTTACTGATCAGAGAGCCACCACAAAACGTCTCATGGGTACCATCAGTTATCCTCACATGGTAACGACGCTCATCTCCTCTACACTCTTGACCTCCAATAATTCTCTTCTGCAGATCCACCACGGTGCTCACTGTGACACCTGAAACACAAATGTCCTCCTGTAAGTTTAAACAGTGCTGTTGCAGAGAACAACTTATTCACTCTCTAGAAAGTTATCAATACACATGATGAACTGTGAAAGTGTTCTGAGCATTCCAATGATGACTAGTTTCACAGTTTTTTATAATTGGGGGTGGATGGGTCCAACAAAGCCAGGCCTTTGTCTTAGATAGGCAAAAAAAAAACGTGTGTGTGCATGGGGGGAGTTCAGATGTAGCATGTTTTGCGTGCACAAACCCATTACTTTCAATGCAGACGTGCGTCATGTGCACTCACAAACCAAAGCGACGCCGTAGTGGCGCACGTTTGGTGCGACGCGCTTGTTTTTTCATCCGGCGCACAGCACCATGGAGTAACTGCTGTCAGTGTAATCCAGTACAGTTCAACAGCACCACAATCAACACTTCAATAAAATGTCAGACTTAATACAACATTAAACTGCTTTTGTTTTTTCTAGGTGCACCAAGTAAACTGTCAAGTCTACATAAAAATGTAGACAGAAAGCATAATGATGAGACAAATGCAGTGATAGACAGTAACTAAGTATATTTACTCAAGTAGCTACTGCACTTAAGTACAAATGTGATGTACTTGTACTTTGGGTATTTCCATTTTGTGCTACTTTATACTTAGAGGGAAATACTGTACATTCTACTCATACTACATTTATTTAATAGCTATAGATACTTTTCAGATAGTTTGTTTTATATGTTGTAAGTTTCATATTTACAAGTTGCTGTGCGTTGTTATAGATTAGACTAGTACACTAGTGAAAGGTGTTAAAATTAGTTCTACCATGACAACATTTAAATGCTGCTTACATGTAGCCTACGTGTAAATTAATCAATTAATACTCAATACATATTCATGTATATGATGATTACAACACTTGAAACTGGGTCACTCTGCATAATGAGTACTTTGAACTTTTCATTCGTCTCATCACGTCTCATCCTCATCCTCATCCTCCGCCTCATTCTCCGCTGTCTTTCTGGGATCTGCCTCCTCAGCTGGGCAGCCTCCTCCTCAGCCTGCAGGTAGCCTACAGCAATCCTGCTGCAATAACTGCACCAAGAGGCCTTCTCCCATCCATGTCAATTATTGATTTTTGATTTCCAACTCACCAATGCTCACGATCACAATAACCACCAACTCTCCACAAACTTTTCCTCCCACACCTGACTTTTGATTATAATCAAGAGCCAGCTGCAGGGAAAAGGTTTAATAAGACATTTTATTAAAATATTACAGTGTCTATGAAAACCTGCAGGTCTGGGCTGTGTTTATATTGTTTCTTTCTAAATGCATGTAGACAACACAGCACAACAGCCAAGGGAGCGGAGGTGGTGACATCATCAAGTTCGCTGCTGTTCCAAAAGCAGAAATGACTGTACTCCCGTCCTCGGGAAGTCCAGACTCTCGCTTGGACTTGCCAAGTCCAAACTTGCCAAGTCCACAAGTCCGAACTGCTGAATTTGAGTATTGCAAAACGCCTCTGGGTTCCCCTCGGGCTGTGTCTCTCCTACTGTTTCTCATGGAGCTCTGCCCCGTTTGACTTATCATCAGAACAGACGTCCTGTGATTTTCAGCCTCCTTTCATCTTTAATAGAGGGGGGACAAAAAAGAGGGAGACTGACAGGCGCCTGACAACTAGTGCTTCCACAAAGCAACTGTTGCTGTCACAGGCCTTTACAAATGCCACACAATATGCAAAGGATTTAAGAATAATAGTCGAGCATATTTACCCCCCCACGATTTTTTTTAAAAAAATAATGAAATAATCATTCATTAATTGTAATCGAGGTAAAAGCTTCAATTAATCATGATACTGATTTTAAGTAATATCGCTCAGCCTTATGATATGTGACAACTTGAGTCACACACTCAGAGTGTTGTCTTTAAAGTATATTTATAAGTATATTTTATTTATATATTTAAGCTGGGCCATCCTGGCAGTAGAAAGACGCAAAACACCTTTGAAACTGGTGCTACGTTATCAGAGAAAACAGAGGAAAAGCACTGTGACATTCGTTTTTGCTTCAGAGGTAGAACACCTACAACTACCAGAATGCAGAGCGCTGCACCCAGCCATTAAAAGAATCCGCTTGTGGGTGACCTAATGCGAACTCGTCCTTTTGACACAACGGTGGCCAGATGGTAACAAGCAATCATGTATTACAGTTCTACTGTAAACTAAAACATGTTTCTAATAAACATTTAGGTGAGAAATAGGCAGTGCAGTTACAGAATATTGGTTTATATTTAATCAGCAGTGCTTAGTTTTATTGTTGGATCAGAGTCTGGGGTTTAAGAGAGGGAGAGAGACAGAGACAGAGACAGAGACAGGGAGAGAGAGAGAGAGAGAGCGAGAAACAGAGAGAGAGAGAGAGAGAGAGAGAGAGAGAGAGAGAGAGAG